CATTTCGTGAATATGCAATTTTACCCACATAGAAGTCGAAATAATTGTATCATGTGTTTCGCCCTTTTCAACTGTTCTACTATACGTTCTTATTCTTCCGCTACTTATTATTATTCCTCTACTACCTCCTCATCCTCTCTTTCCTCTCCTTCTTCTTCCCCTTCCTCCGTGCCTTCTTCACCCGTCCATCCGTTTCTCTTTCATTCCTGTGCTCTTGTGGGGTAATCAGGACTCACTATTGTTCAATTGGAAAAAGCAAATTTGTCGCGTAGCTATGAAGGGTGTTCGGAAAATTAGTCGAAATCTGCTTCTTTAGCGTAATCTTTTATTAAGTACATATGAGTCGAATTTGGAGCAAAACTCGATGTCAAGAATGTAATTGTCATTGATGGTTGCTCTCGTAAAAGACCATTGTCACGCACACATTTACACTGACCACCGGACAGACAACACCGATCGAACGAAGAGGAAACCATGGCATTAGCTACCGCAATTTAACTGACTTTTCCAAAACGGCAAGGGTGGTGAATAATGGACGGAGACGATCACAGACTACTTCAGATCGTTTACTTAAGACTTACCATTTTTCGCTGCTCCTTAATCTGCCACCATAAAACATGTTTCCGTAACTCGTTGAACTGACCTATTATAAAATAATTGTATCAGTCTGGAGTAAGCAGTAACTTCAGGATATGATGCAACTTTTTCGGGTTCAGAAGTTTATAACGTAATGAGATAAGATCGTCGTTGAAGCCCCTACATGCGTCGGGCACCACCATGCCAAGAAAAAACGTCACATGAGCATCCTGGAGTTGCCAAACTGTTTTCGATAAAAATGAATTTTCGAAGGAACTTCCGAATATTTTTCTTCTAATTTTGCGGAGAATTTTATTCGGATGGGTCTGAAAATTTCAAGGAAAAATATTCATACCTTTCTGCAGAAAGGCTCAGTTGAAAAATTTCGTGTTCGTGTTTCCTTTAGGTTCTTTTGAGTTGCTATTTTCGCGGTCAGATCAACGAAAAGGACCTGGTTGATCGACCACATTTTTGGTTGAATCGACTACAAAATTGGATGCTGCTGAGGGGCGAGCGCATTGTACTATAATCAATGCGATCCATGCAGGCTCGAATCTCGTCACTTGCGCCGGAGTTTTAACGGGGTCGTTAATCAACCAAAATATTTGATCAATATAACCCCCAAAAACGAATAAAAAAAAATCAACCGTACATTTAGGTTACTGTGCGTTTTACTCTTCATTTTAACACACAATGTAGGTAACTAATTACTTACACTGAAAAATATTGAATGCTGCTTTAGGGTTTATTACGTTAAAAAATGTGGGACAAGTATAAATGCTGATCTTACATAAAAAGTGCTTTGTTAACTACGTCCATGGTCAAATGAAAAAATTGAATGTTGAGTTAGGATTTTTTAATGTAAAATCGGCATTTGATACTTGTCGCACATTTTTTTTAACAGTATGAATGCTAAATCAACATTCAATTTTTTTCCATGTACTCTTATTGTGTGATTATTTCAATGAGGGAAATTTGGCAACATCCGAATGTTCATACGCCGTTTTTCCTCAGCAGAGTAGTGAGCTGCCATAATAGGGAAGAAAGCCTTAAGTGCATTTCTGTATGAGCCACGATTAGAACATGATCTAATGTGTCTCGAGGCTCATCCTGGACTCCACCTACGGCTATCTTTCTGTAACACGGCAGTAGGCCCGCCGAACGAAAGACCAAGAAGTTGATAATGATAGGGTTGTGAACGAATACTGACTCTGCTCATAGGCCGGTCGTGTCGTAAATCTCAATCCAGTTGTGCATAATCCCAGCGTGGCGCCACACTGTCTTAGCCGTCGCGGCCGGCGTTTGGCTGAAAGCCACTATTCAGTCGCTCCATCCTAATTGGAGCGCCTTGGCTCGAAAACGCTCCGCTGAAGCCGTCACAATGTTATGGTGTACCCTTCATAAATACTTAATTCCCGAGTTGAATCGGCAGCTAATGAGTAAGCAAATGGAGAATTTTCCGGAGTCTGGAACACTGAAAAAAAAACACATTGGATCTAGAGTCCAGACTCTTAAAAACATCGACACAAAAAAGTACTCTTGATTCAATCAGAATCTAGCTTAAATCAAGAACCAAGTCTCTTAATTTAAGCGGATTTCGTTTTGATTCAAGTAAAAATTCGACTGAATCAAGAGTATTTTTTCTTGTCAATGTTTTCAAGAGTCTGGACTCTAGATCCAATGTTTTTTTTTTTTTTTTTTCAGTGAATAATTGCTTGAATGGGTCAGTTGCGCCGGTCAAAAACTCGTGTTTTGACGCTTGATTCTTGTAGATTAGCAAAGAATAATCAAATCCGTCCAAACAGCAACTTTCTACGTTCAATATGAACCGAGATATCGCCCTTTGAAAAGTAGGGGTTTTGAAGTCATCCACCGCGGTAAGGACACCTTTGGATGCTTCTACCTTGCTTTCATCGAAGTTTCACGTTGAATAACCAGTGCAAATGTTCGTCACACCACTAATGAAACTAAGGTGGAAGAAACCAAGGGTGTCACCACTGCGGTGAATGACGTCACAAACCCAACTTTTCAAAGGGCGATTCCTCGATTAATATTGAATGTATAAAAAGTTGCGGTTTGGACAGATCTTAATATTTTAGCTAATCTACAAGAATTTAGCATCAAAGCACAATTCTGTGACCAGCGCAACTGGCCCATTGCGTAAATTGCATTTTTAAGAAGAAACTACCACGTGAACTGAGCATGAGAATATCTTTGGCTTCTTAAATGAATATGTATTATTTGAGGTACGACCTAAGTATCTGATCTTCTAAAATACATGCGTTGTATCGCAAAGCACGCCACGCCACTGAACTAATCCACGTTATTCACCCAGCGGGCTGATTATTTCAATCGATATACAAAGCGGTAAGTTAAAAGTTAAAAAGTTAAAAAGCACGGCGCGCCGTGTCGCGCTGACCACACTGTGTTTGGCGCAATGCGTGAAGTATTCACGTCGTCTTGTAGGCACTGTGCGTTTCACGCCGCGCCGACCGCTGCTGACCTGACCGCACTCCTTGTGACGCAATGCGTGAAGTATTCATGCAGTCTCGTAGGCGCTAATATGTGGTACATGCCGACCGCGCCGCGTTGGGGGCTTCTCCTTTTCATCTCAAGTCCTCATCATCATTTCTCTTTGCGCCGCGCCGCTCCAGACCAAATTACGTGTCTGGTTTCTCTCTGAACTCAAAGTTGCGCAGTCTTTTGTATCACCGAAATACGAAAAAATTGGAAATTAATGAACTCTCAGGATTTGAGAGATTTTGTCACTTTTTCTTGTTTGTAATTTTTCTCTGAATTCTTGCTCCTGCATTTAAAAAAAAATGCAAAATTTGCCGCCCCCTAATTTTGCCACCATAGGCCGCGGCCAATGTGGCCACCCCCTTAATCCGGCCCACTTGGGTCCACTTGAAGAATAAAAGAGCTTGGAAGATCGTCTCATAAAAACCAGTGGCGCTATCGTTTTTCACGCGAAATTTTACTCTAGTATATCTACTCAAATCGTAAATCTCTAATGGTTCAGTTACACGATCAAATTGAGCCATCAAAATGGGCCTCTCATTGGTCGCATCCTCACCTCAGGTCTTTTTCCACCAATCAGAGCATCAGTTTGATGGCTCAATTTGATCGCGTAACTGAACCTTAGGGAAGGCGAGAGCTCCATTGAAAATCTCCAATGCTTGCATAAACTCCATTGCCGCCAAGTCCGGCAACCTGGAAGTCGATAGATTCTGTCGGGACGGACCACCTCTGATTTGATTAAATTGCGTTGGGTTGACTTGGCGCGAGCAGGACATACATCACCAGGCGTCTCACTTTTGACTGCCGTGCAAATGTTGTCGTAGGGTAGGTTCGTGCACGGACCGCGGGCTGCGGGCAAACGAACCGAACTCGCCGGCTGAACCGAGATGACCGACTTGACAGGTCTCTTCGGTTCTTCAACCAGAGAAAGCCGGCCGCGTCGATCGAACCGAGTTCTAAGAAACAAGCTCACCAAACGGTTTCTTACCACGCTCCACTTCGCAATCTATGAAATGAGGAATGTTTCCTGTGCCAACTTGGAAATGCGTCGTTTTTGTCCGGGAGTGCTATGATCGTAGGCATTTACACCGGGAGTGAACAAGCATCAAGGTATCGACCAAACGCCAGCACACAAATTTTGGTAAGGAAGCGGTTTGGATTTGAATTTTTGGTGTCAAAATGGATCCATCATGCATTGAATTGCATTTCAACAGTATCTTACTATAAAAGAGATTTCAGCTTTGGGGCCGTCCCTAAATTACGTAACGCTCAAGGGGGGTGGCGCGCAGTGGATCGAGTCAATCAGAAAGGTCGACCATGAATTTTTTGACTAAGACTGCATATTTTGATGTATAATTCGTCATATTTTAAATTTTAAGGGGAGTTTCTAAAAGAAAATTTGATGAGAAAATCAACGAAACCACTTTTAGAACCTCAAAGTTTTGTATAAGCGGAGTTATGAGCGTTTAAAGTTTCCGAATTTTGTCCGACCTCTCTGATTGACTCGATCCATTTTGCGCCGCAAACCCAGATACGTATTTCTGCAGTAACTCCATCGATATTTAGACCGAGTTTACAACAGAAAGGAAGCAAGCCACATCAGCTATTGCCAATAAGTGTAACTGGGCAATTAAATTTTTTACGAGAGAACTTTTGTTCGGATTTCTTTGAAAATTTTAAGGAATTTGCTTCGTACCATGGAGAATTTCCACTAAAATTTGCACGAAAATCCGCACAGCCGTTTTCATGTAAAAAATTTAACGTGGCAATAGTTGATGTGGCTTGGTTCCTTTCTGCTTAACGCGGTCCATTTAGACTCACAATCCGTCCAATTTTTTCTGACAGAGCCATAGTTCACCATTCCATCATCATATTTTAATTGTGTTTCAATTTGTTTGTTCCAGGTGCGATCGTGGAGTGCGTTCAGCCCTCGGAAGAGTGTCTCGGTGGTCCGGGGCCCGCGAGGTGCCCAGCCGAGTCCCATTCGCGCCGCGCGTCACCGCTCGTGCTATCGGTGACGCAGTTCCACAACCGCGATTACCCGCGCAAAAATGCACCGCGGCTCGCATCGTCTTCCGCCCGAGTCCCACGAGTAGCCTCCGCCACAAAATCAACGACGAATCCACCGTTTTCAACCGATTCCAACGGCGAATCCACCGTTTACGACCGATTTCAACGGCGAATCCACCGTTTATGACCGCTAAATGGAAAATCTCGTAGGCGATCCCGAGTCTCTCCGCAGCGTCCCCGATAGGCCGCGAACTCTCCTCAACTTCCACGAAAGCTTAGTCTGCACATAATTTAATTTAATTTATCTTAATTTATTCTAATTTATTTCGATTAGTTTTTAGATGAGTTTGACGCGTTTCTGATGGGCGTGACGAGGTTTTTCCACCGGGTGAGTTTCGCTGTTGTTTAGTCCCCCTCGTCCCTCTCGTCTGAGATGAGAATCGGCAAGACCCCGAGGAAGAGAAAGGTTTCGATTTTTCCGGCCGCTCCGCTTTCGAATCGATCTCCGAGTTCGAGGATGCGATAGTCGGAGTCAGTGACGTCATTTTGAACTAGTTCTTGGATCCATCGGTGACGCGAACGCTCGCGAACATGTTGAACTGCACCGACATCGACTGCATCCTCCACCATCACCACGAGCACCGGGAGCTTCAGCATCATCTCCAGGATAATCGGCAGCACCACGAACATCATGGAGGTAAGATCCTCTCTTCCTTTTCGCATGCTTCTTTTGGAGTATCGAGATCGATATATCTATGCTGCCGCGATAAGGAAAAACGCCGTATGAACCTTCAGACGTTGCCAAGTTTCCTCCGATATAGACCAAATTTACTGGGAATATTATGAATATTATTTTCCAAAGATTTCAGATAATTTTGAACGTAATTTAATCTAAAATATCTGAAAATTTCAAGGAAAAATATGCACGAATATTGTCAAAAATACATGTGTTATCACGGTAAATTTGGCAACTCTCGAATGTTCATACGGCGTTTTTCCTTAGCGCAGCAGTATGCTGCCGCGTTAAGGAAAAACGCCGTATGAACCTTCAGGCGTTGCCAAATTTCTTTTGATAAAACACGGATTTCCTAGTAAACTTATGAAAATTTTCCTTTAAAATTTTCAGATAATTTTGCTCGCAATTTCATCTAAAACTCCTGAAAATTTCAAGGAAAAATATTCATAAAATTCCTAAAAAGTGAACATTTTATCGGAGTAAATTTGACAACTCCCGAATGTTCATATGGCGTTCTTCCTGAGCACGGCAGTATGGCTAAAGTGCGAAACCACGTACCTCCATTGCGGTGTTTTAAAGCCTCAGCGATTATTGTACTTCTTCGACAAACAAACTTTATAGTTTGAATATTGGGCCACAAGAAGAAAAATCAAGGAAGTTTTCAAGAAATTACGTCAACCTGTTTAGCGCAGAAAAAATGAAATATGACAGGAGATTTGCAACGTCGCAAACGTAGGTATGTGGTCTCGCAATTTAGCCATCGATATGTCACAGGCAATGGATTCGCAGAAATTCACACATCACAATCATATGCATACAATTTGTTAGGATAGTCGTGAACTATTTCATATTTTAAGTCATCGTTGATTCACGGAAGACCTTCATTGACTAAGCGTTGCCAATTTTTAACGCAATAATTGGCTTTCCAACCATAATTTCGTCGCCCCTCCGACGTTAGGGCGTACCTCGATTTCCACATGAGCCCTGTTCGTCGTATAGCTTTATGCTTTCTACGGCTCATGTCGAAATAAAGATACGCCCTTACGTCAGAGGGACGAATCGACGAAACTAATGGTACACATTGACCACTTTTGGCAATTCGGAACAAAAATTTTTGGCTCATTTTAGAAACAATTTACACGGAGAAAAAAAAACTTCGTGCGTGGGACCTACAGTTTAGGTCATATGGATCTCTGAAGTTTTCGGATTGAGCATCTGAACACTTTAGATCTAGCTGTCGAGGTTCGGATCACACATCTGAAACTTCAGTTCTTACATCTGAAGTACTTCGGTTTTCACATCCGAAAAACTTCGGTTCTCACATCTGAAGTACTTCAGATATAAAAACTGAAGTTTCAGATGTGTGATCCGAACCTCGACAGCTAGACCGAAAGTGTTCAGATGCTCAATCGGAAAACTTCAGAGATCCATAAACCATCCATATGACCTATAAACTTCGGTTCCCACGCACGAGGTTTTTTTCTCCGTGTATATACCATTAGGTTCCCCATGTACGTAAGTGTTTTTTACGGATGGGCCAGAAATTGTACTTCCAAATAGCAAAACGAAGTCGGTATGTTGTTTAAAAAATGAATTGCAAATTGCGGTCCAAGTATCTCCATGTTCATTTCCATCCAATCAATCAATCAATATAGACAATATTTCAGTGTAGAAGGAATGCATGTATCAATAGATCAGATATATACAGAGGATATAGAAATCTTTCTCGTTCCTAATGATGCGTTCTGAGCTGAAGGAACCTTTTCGACATGGCGTGGGGTTACGTAAACCTTACGCAAGTCCTGTATGTGCCAAGGGACATGAGTAAATTTGGCAGTTTGGCGTATGCGCCGAGATCTCATTTTCGCGCTATTGTCTATACGGTGGCGCTACGAGGCCTGGCGGCATCGGCGTGCAGCCTTGTCTTTTCGAGCTGCAATGCCAAATCCCTTTTCGACCGGAGTGCGTAATTGCTCCAACATGACTGGATAAACGCTCCTCGTCGTCGTGTTGACTGGACTGGATCCGAGTATCCGAGTGGCGTCACAGGACTGCGCATCGAAAAACCGATCTCATGCACCACCGTGCTCAGAGACAGTATAGGCCTGAATACACGCTCAAATTTTCATCAATTTCCGATCAAATGGTGACTGGTGCGCACCATCTACCATCGATTTTTTACGGCCTGCAAAAATTTGATGGTTGATGCACTGGAAAAAAAAAACACATTGTATCTAGAGTCCAGACTCTTGAAAACATTGACAACAAACAGGACTCTTGATTCAATCAGATTTAAGCTTAAATCAAGAACCAAGCCTCTTCATTTGAGCGGATTTCCTTTTGATTTGAGCTTAAATCTGATTGAATCAAGAGTCCTTCTTCTTGTCAATGTTTTCAAGAGTCTGGACTCTAGATCCAATGTGTTTTTTTTACTAGTGTAGACCTGAATACACTCTCAAATTTTCATCAATTTCCGATCAAATGGTTACTGGTGCGCACCATCTACCATCGATTTTTTACGGCCTGCAAAAATTTGATGGTAGATGATGGAACTTTGGGCCTCATTCGTCATCTGATTTCCACACAACCGTGCTTATTTCATGCATATTTCAATCAACATACTGTTTTAATTAATTTTAGATGACAATTATTTAGATATATCTCGACCGCCATTTTTGTCATCATTTTGATCGGAAATTGACGGAAATTTCAGCGTGTATCCAGGCCTTATATCGACGGTGAAACTGCTAGACCACTTATCTCTTTGGTGGTGTTTAAAAATCTCCGCTCACATTTTATTCTTTTTGAAGGAGACCAAATCAATATAATTCCTTGAAATTGTCACAGAGTTTTCTCCGCACAAAGAGGAAAAATCACGGGATGTTTTTAAGGAACGACGTTGAGTAGTTTTTCATTTAAAAAATTAAGTATGGCAGAAAGTGTGCGGCGATTGAGATATATACGTATGGTTTGGTAGTTTTTCTGTTGATATTTTAGAAACTCTGCACCAAAGAGTTGAGCCATGGGCCTGTTGTAAACTTCAGCTGCAGCTAAGAGGAAAGTTATTTTTTACAGAAAATGGCTCTAAAATCACGATGAGCGCATCAGAAAAGTCTGAAATACACTCTTAACTTCACAGTCTGCGTATTGAATATGCGTTTGCTTAAGTTCCCCACTTTTAAAAACGATACTACACCACAGGTGAGCATTTCATGAGAAGGGTCGTTCCATCCAAGCGTTGCAAGCTTTAAAAAAACGCATTACGCATATCATGAATTTTCATTTGCTTCCGAACTTTAGTTTCACCTCGCCTGATTGCATTGCTTAGATTCTTACAAAGTGCGGCCTCTCAAAAATACATTTTATCCAGCCGTGCTAAAGGGAAACATTGTGTAAACATTCGGACGTCACCAAATTTCTACCAGGGAAAAAAGGCAACCAAGTGGGTCAGCTAGGATTAGAATAATTAAAATAAAAATTAATTTTAAAAATTTCATCCGCGAAAAAATCCATTAAAATTCAATATTAGAATGCGGAGAAACAACGATTTTCTACAATTCGGGCGTAGCCGAACTCTTTTAACAACAACAGAATTTCACCTGTAGGTTTTCTGACGTAAGTGCGAATATCAATTTCAGCAGGAGCCCTAGAAAGCATGGATTTTTACGTGAAACAGTGCTCACGTTGAATGAAATTGAGATACGTCCTTACGTCAGAGGGGCAACGAAATTTGGCAACAGCGCAGAAGTCCCGAGTTTTGTTTAAGTTGACGTCGGAATTCGAGGATGACTCTCACCTATTTCGTCCCGTATGTCTCTTCACTGTCAAGAGGTGATCTCTAGTCTCGAACGGTTTATTTGTAAATCAGCATAAACGACATTAGAACTGCACAGCACTTACGCCTTTCTGTAAAAAAACCACTCGGCTCCCTTTCTAACCACCGACGCACGCACCGATGCCCAGAGCAGGAATCCAGTCCGTCCGGCCGCCTGGATAATCCGCTTTTTAAAAACGTTCGTGATGAGGAAGAACGCCGTATGAGCCCTCTGACGTTGCCAAATTTCCCCCGATAAAATATGAATTTACCGGGATAGCTGTTAATATTTTTCTGTCAATTCCTCACACTATAAGTTTTGTTCACAATTTAATACAAAACATCTAAAATTTTCGAGGTAAAATTTGCGTATCTTTCCTCAAAAATAAATATTTTCGGGGGTAACTTTGGCAACATTTGAATGTTCATTCGTCGTTTTTCCTCCGCACGGCAGTACAAATAGCTCTTTAAACGAAACAATGTTTATACATACGGAGATTAGTAATTCTTTGTTCCGGACTGGACCAAGAAGAAGACTGAACTAAGCGAGAGAGTTTATAAGCCTTTTAACATCAGGTTTGTGGCGTAACTTTTAAACAGGTTTGACTCAGTCAGGATATCTTAGGAACTATCAAGACGTTACTCGAAACATACCTATCAGACTGACATGCATATTGTATGAAATAATTCGTAATTTTTCACTCTCCCAAACCAGGGCCGGATTTAGGGGGTGGCCTCATGAGCCGCGGCCCATGGCAGCAAATTTAGGGGGCGGCAAATTCTGCGATTCCCTCAAATGTGGCTACAAAGAAAAATCGGATTCAGAAAAAAATTATAAACGAGAAAAGGTGACAAAATCTCTCATTTCCTGAGAGTGTTTCTCTAATTTTGTCGTCTTTCTGTGGTGCAATGGACAGCACCTTTAATAAGTCGAGTTAAGACTAACAAGGGGAGCTTTCCAAGTGTAACCGGAATTTCGAGTTGAAATTTCGCATGAAGATACTAGAGATGATTTTAGGGATGCCGTATTTTTTCGTTTTTTCGAATGGGGTCGGGAAAGCCCTCAAAAAAAGGGCTAAAGATGCGGAAAAAACGCGTGCGCTAGCGGCACAAGGTAAACATAGGTGATAGAGGCACTCCATCCTTA